TCTGAACAAAGATTCATCAAACAACTCAGTACAAAGTGAGATTTCAACATTTAACAATCTAAGGGCTTTCAATCCCAATAAAGATGGACCATATTCACTAACAAGAAAGGGGATATTCACAAAATTACCACTGTCTGACTTCAAACAAATGTTAGTTGCACCAATAAGAGGTAGTTTATGACCAGTTATGCCCGTAATTGAACTAGTAGTAGGGTCTACCTGAGCATGCTTACAAAGCGATAGTAAATCTTTCTTAGAAATTATAGATTCAGTACTCCCAGTATCAATTATAAAACAGTGAGACTTGCCTGAACTTGTAGTGAAGTTTCTCACTAGATGAGATTGAGTATTGTGAAAAGTTGAAAGAGACATTGACTTTATTTTATCAGACAGTTTGGGAGAATCATGAGTAGCATAATTATTTGAACTTCTGCAGACAGACTTGATGTGCCCAATTTTATCACATTTATGGCACTTAGCACTCCGAAAACGACAAGTGCTTCGTAGATGAAGTTTTCCACATGAAAAACACGGTTTGATGTTCTTGCTTTCTGTATGCATTCTATTACATGTGGACGGCAGTTTGGACTTCTTTCTATGAACACTTTTATTATCAACTTTGGACAGCATGACATCAGACTCTGACGTAGTGGTAGCTGGGTAGTCACTGTTGACATCTTCATACGTAATACATAAATCCTTGGCAGTTTGAAAGGTGCAGGAAGGTATCTGAACCAACTCTTTCTCTAACTTAGGAATATTGATTCCAGCAATTAGACGATCACGTAGTTGAGTATGGAGCTGATCTCCAAAGTTGCATTTTGAAGCTTGTATCTGAAGTTGAAGAATAACGTCTCTAATCTTCTGGTTGGGAGCACGAACAAGTTTGTTGAACTGAGCCCTCTCTCGTGTTTCGAAAGTTGTTATGTGGAAGTGATTTGTTAAAAGTTCACGGAGTTTATCATAAGACAGAGAAATTGGTTTATCTGGAAATGACAGAGTTTTCAGTAGGCTGTACGCATCTAGCCCAATAGCAGTAATAAAATGAGCTGGAATTTTGTCATTGCGAACATTCTTTGACATGCACCATGCGTCGAAACATTCAAGATAATCGGAGATTTCCCGCGGTGAACCATTTATAGGAAACTTTCCAAGATTATTTAATTCCATTGCGACACCAAAATGTGATTTTTTATTTGTGATAGTAGTATTTGTATTTCGCAATGACCGAATTACAGGAACTCAACCAAAACATAGAGAGGGATGAATTTAGGAATTTGTATTTGGCGGAATTATATTTCAAATCAAAATAATAAATATATTAACAAACAGCAGTAAGTATTTAAACAATAAAAAGATAGAAATTGTCAATCACCACACAAGTCGACTTAAACAGTGAGGGTCAGCATCCAATGTTCAGTGATGAGTGCTGTGGTCAATAATTTTGGGGAACTATTTACCGCTACACATTCATCAAGTTTGGTGGTTTGTGTTTGGAAGTCGGGCAACCTAAAAGTGAAGGTAAAGCAAAGAAGTATTTCCTGTATTTCTCGAAAAGAACAATCTTTTTGAGACTTCAATTTACTGCATTTTAAAATAATTCAGTTTTCAACTATTTGCCTCTCCATTTCCAGTGTAGCGTTGATTTCTGTGGGTGAGCATCTCACTAGCATTAAGACTTGACAAATTCACTGACTGATAATTGTATAACATTTCGCAGTATTTTTAACATAATATAAGTTGATGGGTTACTTTACAATGTCTGACGCATACCATATGAAAATCGGTCATGAAAATTTAACATAACTAATTCTGTTAACCAACTGTTTTCTTCAGGATCATTATACGTAATTTCATCACTAATTTTCCACTACACATTTAACTCTATTGAATAGACTATAACTTAGTTGCTGTGGTACTAAATACTTCTATACTTTATAAATTTTTGAGTGAAACTTAATTTCCTAGTCGTTTGTAACGAATGCTTATATACGTGTGTGCATGTATATAAGTGATGCATCTAAGAATGTCCTCAGGTATCTATGTATCTGGTGACCGAATGGGAAGCACTTGTCATGAAACCTATTAATGTGCAGCATACTGTGTGATTGGAACGGGCTCAAAGCAATGCAGTGCTGCGACTCCAGTGAATAATAAAATAATGGTGGTGGAATTATTAATAATAATAATATTATTAATGGTATTAATGACGACATGCCTGTCAAACACGCACAAACACATTATTATTTTTGCATTTCCCTACATGCTTTCTGACTAATTTATCAGGATAATTATTAATTTTCAAAGCTTCTCTCATATACCTCACTTCCTGTCTTAGGTTCTCCTTCACACTAATTAGTTTTTATACCCTATTACTTACACATTTTACCAATCTTATTTTTACTGACATAGGATGAGATGATCGGAAATTCGAATATTAGTTTGAATGAGTGGGTTTCCCGTAAACACTAGTGTTTGACTTCTCATCTTCTTTCCTTTTTACGCTACAATCTAACATTGGAAGCTCCTCTTCCCATATTTCTAATTTATAAGTGAATTGAATTGCTTCTACCTTCCAGTTAGTGTGTTCGAAAAGTCTATTTATGCCCTGTGTTCTAAGTACCTTGAACGTGCCATCTACACACCACCAAACTTTTGAGGTAGGACTGAACTTTTCAGTCGCCAAGTTCCCCACCTATCCATGAATATATCTGCACAACCGGGAATATTGGTGACCCTATGGCAAATCCCTCAGTCTACTTGTATATTTCCCCTTTGAATTTAAATTCTGTGGAATTCAGGTATAGCTGCACTACCAGAATTCTGTCCTCTAGTGTCACTTTTGTTCTAATTTCAAGTTCTTGGTCAGAAATAAGTCTGTTTCTGACTACATGCACTAAATGCGATCACACACAACCATACAATAGGATGGGATAAGATGACAGTTTTAAAATCTAATCTAATATAAAAGAGTGGAGGGAGAGATTGATAACGGAAGCCCTATTCATTGAATGCAAATACGTGTAATAGGTATGATTCGACACCTGTCCAACTGGACATCTGGAAAATTCTAGTACCCCAACGACGAATAGGGCGGAATGAAGAAAACTACAAAGCGAAGGTTTCGAAGCTGTGTGATTATAACTGATATGATTGTGAACAATAAATTGTGTTCCATACGTCATCCAGTAAATAGTACTGTTTCACTGTGTGATACATCTAATAAACAAACTAATATGGAATTACGTACTACTACAGTGCTCATGTTTTACACATACATTAATAAAAGCAGCTTGTTGCGCAAAAGTCAAAAACAAGCCAACCACTAAAGAAGTAAACTGTGGGTAAATTGGGAATAATATATGACAAATAATGAGATTCAGGCTCAGCAACTGTGAGGGATTGGTAGTGCTGTTGATAAGGTGAGCTTTACCAGCCCTTACTAAAATTAATTCACCTTTGTTCCCAACAAATCAGTACTCTACCTGAGCTGTAAGTGCTGACTACAAAACGCAAAGTAAATGATGAAGGTAATTAGAAATGTGCTCTGGTAAGCAGTAAA